TTTTGAACCATTAATTTTACCTCCGCTGACTACCTTACTATCACATTTTAGTATTTTTATTCCAAACTCTTGTAGTATTGATTTTTTTTTTGTATTGATTTCTGCATTTTATGTTTTTATTTTAATTCATTTCATTTTATAAAAAGTGTAACCTTAAATAATCATAGCAGTTAAAATGCCTTCAATCATATGAATTTGTCTAAGACATCATCGTTCTCTGAAAGTGAAGCACAGTCTCTTCTTCATCACAAAATCCCATTTATCCCAGCTGAAGTAATGTAGTCCTATTTGGACCAAATGTATTGCTTTCGTGCTTCTTTCTGTAATCTTCGTGGAATTCTGTAAACCATTTGTCCTGTTACCTCTTCCTCCAGCTACTTTTGCCATCTTTCCATCAACCTAAGGCTCTTAATTTTCTCTAACTACAATTTATTTTCACATCAACTTGTTGTGGCTTCTTTTGCAACTTGTACTGTTGATCGCTTTTCTTTTGTTCTTGTACGTGCTGGTGAAAAGGCAGGCCAAAAAATCTGGCACTTTAGGCAGCAACAATACCAGAAGGAACCAGCGAGGGGGGCTGCACGGGTCTATAGGGACATGGGGACTATAAGATAACACATTAGACAAAAGGGAACACAATTAAAACATAAAAATAAAATAATAAAAATCTGTAAAATTAACATAGAAATAAAAACAATTAAAAATAAGAAAAAAACAGGACAACATAAAATAATAATTAAGACCAACACATTAAGCATTAAAAAAATAAAACACACTAGTTAAAACCAATAAAATAAAATAAGACCAACCCAGAGTACTGAAAGCTGAGAAAAATAAATATTTTCAATTTAGTTTTAAAAGCCGATAGCGTTGGGGCACACCTAATATGATTGGGTAGGAGGTTCCAGAGGCTTATGGCACAGGTTTTTGTGAAGGCCCAAGAAATAACCAGACAACCTGGCTAGAAGAGGAGGGTCTACCTGGGTCATAACTCACAAGCATGTCAGAGAGATATTGGGGTGCCTGACCATGTAGAGCTTGATAACAAGCATTACAATCAAGCCAGTGTAACGACCTCAGGCTTTACGTGGTCGTATTTTCTTTTTCTAGTTAAAACTCTAGCAGTTGCATTCTGGAGTAACCTAGCTGTAATTCGATTCATGTGAGCAGCATGTTACAGAAGTCCCCATCCTGAGGGTCAGGACCCCCACTAGGGGTCACTAAATCTTCACATGGTGGGCTTCATGGAGGGGTCACAGGCCTTCTTGATTTTGATCTTGATTTTTAAATGTAAAGTTAATTGTCTAACAGAGCAATGGCCAATAATCAGGGACAAGAAAACAGAAAAGAGAAGCCTATTAAGTCTGTATGATTGTTAAAAATTATAATATATAACAAAGACAGAGAATTATGTCAAATGTTTCCTAAACATTAAATAATCTAAATCTATGGTCTTACACAAACTTCCTACAGTTACTAAGTTCACTGTTTGGGTTCATTGTGTAGTTTTCAATATAATATAAAATATCCATAAAATATGTCACTGAGTCAGTTTACTGAATGACAGAAAAGGGCTCTAAGACTCTAAGTACCAGTTCAACACTGGCAGTTTGTGTGATGAATGATGATGACTGGCTGGGAATTAGAAATATGGGCACGGCAAATAAGGTTTTGATATGTTATCTATTATTAGAAATTATATTTTATAGTAATACACATAATAATAGAGAAAGTCAGGGGATTAGTAATTACTTTTCTTTAATTCTAAATTATTATTTTTATTATTTCTTTACTGTCATCTTATCTCAAATTCTCTGGCCCCACTTTGAAAAACCCTGGTCTCACTGGAAATAAAAGCATAAACCAGTTTCAGCGTCCTCCTGTGATAAAAAGCTTTTACCTTTGCAATATTTCTTGAAATGATAAAATGCTAACTTTATTTATTATTATTATTATTAGTATAACAAATAACAGCATCCCCTAAAATGTGTCCATTGCTGCTTAAAGGACCAAAAAGAGAAAAAGGCTGTCTGCAATAAATGATGGCAAACTGGAAAAGGCGACTTCAGGGCCAATATCCTGATACTGGGAATGAGGTAACTGGTGGTCTTTGTCTTTTGTATAGTAATTCACATTTGTGTGTCAGTGTTTTGTGAGTACCATGGTCATTTTTATCTTTTCAAAAAATGTATTTCAGATGATGAGAGCCTTGTTACATGAGCAGGGTGTGAATGTTACACTATCCAGAGTGTGTGAGGGGTTGACGAAGATAAACCCTACTGCTGCTGCAAGGAGATGGAGCTGAACAGTTGCAAGACAGGTTCATCATGCACCGTTCCCTAACAGTTTGTGGCACATTGATGGGAATATGTACTTTATAAGGTTGGTTACCAGACAGCAGGGTTTAACGTTAAGATTGGGCAAGTGTGTCAAAAATCAACTTGCCCCAATACACATTGCTTTATTTATTAGTGGTTTCTGATAAGCTTGAAAACAAAAAAACTGTTTTATTCTTTTTTTAGATTTACTAGTCCGATGTGGCATTTTACTTGCCCTAGGCAAGCAGGCAATCCTTCAGTACAGGAAGTCCATATTTTTCAAGTCGTTGCGTATAGAAACCTGGCACACTGAGTCTGATGCATTTTATTATTCCATCTAAACTTCTAGATACTACACTTCCATTATTCTAAATTTTAGAATAATGGACGTATCACCTGCTGTCTGCTCACTGCTGTCACTCTCCCTCACTCCTCTCTCATTTCCTCCGTTGCTGTTTCTGTCCCTGTTGCCGCTCTCTGCTCGCATCTTGCATTTGGCACCGTGGCTGTTCCAAACACTTGTGGACAAAAGTTATGGTCGGGTTGTAAACATGATTCACACAATGAGAGGTTGTATTTCATTTTAGTCGTGTGCCAATTTCGGATTAAAAAGACAGACTTGCGATGTGTGCAATAGGCTTTATTGTTGAGCCCTGTCTTGAAAAGAACTGCCAAAAGTTAAAAACTGAAGTTCACAACTATATTGTTTCCAGACTACATACTGTATTTCCATAATTTTCAAGTGATAATTTTCTTATGTTATCCAAGCTTTTTAGATGGGGCTTTGTGATTCATGGACACTGATGAACTGGATAACCTAACCTCAAGTGCAGCACAGACAGTCGTGACGTCACAGTTTTTGAAAGCAGGGTGTCGTGTGTACCCTTGAGAGACAGATCTGACCATGGTGGTGAAAACCTGCTTGTGGTTTTATTCATGCGTCTACTTCAAGGACTTGACACACAGAACACAGAAGTTTCATAGCAGGAGAATCTCAATCATCATGTATGTTCTACTCCTCAGAGGATTCAGAGGTTCTAAACCCAGATAATGTGGACCATTGCCTGCATATTGTTAATCTTCCTTAGATTCAAAACCGGCCTGGAACCACCAAGCGTTGTGAACAGAAAATAATCACAAACACTGCAACAAACAACACAGCTGTTAACAGTGTGTTTGGGGAAAATCCACAGACCGGATAATTAAAAATGGATGTAGTCTGCATGAGGTCACCCAATGGTTCCTGAAGAGCTGTTATGATGGTTTGTGGTGTTTTTGAACTGCAGCTCGGAAAAGATAACAGTGCATGAATGAATTGGGGCGGCTGTGGCTCAGAGGCAGAGCGGGTCGTCCCCTAATTTGAAGGTTGTTGGTTCGATCCCCGGCTCCTGGTGCCATGTCGAAGTATCCTTGAGCAAGATACTGAACCCTGAATTGCTCCCGATGCGCGTATCGGTGTGTGAATGTGTGTGAATGAGTTAGTTTCTGTTCGATGGGCTTTTCCATCACTGAGTGAATATGTGTGAAAGGGTGAATGTGGCACGTAGTGTAAATGCACTTTGAGTGGCCGGAAGACTAGAGAGGCGCTATACAAGTACAGGTCCATTTTCCATTTACCATGAATGTGTTTATACACGTTAGCATTGTGAGGCAGCTGGATCATGAAATTACAAGATCACATGAAAATCCATCTTGCCAGGCTTCGTAGTAATCCTACTACAGCTGTGGTTTAAAGCTAGGTGGCTGCTAAAGAGGTTAGCATAGATGCTGTTATCATCAGTTCTATCAGAACTGGAGAGTATTTCTACACTGAAAGAAGAGCAATATATATTATTATATATATATTATATAGTTCATTCATCTGATTGGTTGAAGTTTGCCTGTGATAGACAATGATAGACAGATGGCTCATCCAGTCACCTGTTGTTTAGACCTCATTTAGTTCAGTGCAGATGGACTGTAGAGAGAGTGTGACTGTGTCAGGCAGTTCTTCCTCTGATGCAAGTATTTGTGTCATAAGAACAAGTCTTTCTGTTTTTGTTAGTGTTAAAAAATACAACACAGAGACGCATAAACAATATAAGTTCCACAGCAGCGGCAGCCACACACACCCACCCACACACACACACACACACACACTGTATATAAAGGAGAAACTGAACAGTTTTTACAAACAGTGTTACTATGCA